TCCGAACGCGTCGAGAGGGGGCCCCAAACGTTCGGGCGTTTGGGTTCGGACGTTAGGCCCGTCCCGAACGCCGGCAACCCTGTATATATATATATATATATATATATATATATATATATATATGCAAGATAAATGAGCAATAGCGAATTCCAGAAATCAAACAGCATCATATACATCAGTCCAACTAGTCGTGACCTCAAACTTAACGCAGAATTGCAATACGAGTTCCCACCAAATAAGAGCACAGCACAAGCTCACAATTGACAATGTTTGAATAGTCTCATCATCATCAATGACGAACCAATGTCGAACCTCCTATCTGGCGCTCTACACCCAGACTACAGATGGCAGATCCTATCTAGCCTACTATCTACAATGCCGCATGATGGCGTCAACAGCTTCCCCCAGGTACGAACAGATCCCGATCAATGTCGTCCGCCTTAAGCACCAGGTATGTCTTTCGCTTCGCTCACAACCTCGATTCCCCACTCACAGGATGCCACGTGCACCCGAAGATCACCATGCGCCCATCCAGCGTACAGCAGCGCATGCAGCTTGGCTATGGTTGCGCACTGCTCAACCCTGCTCGCCCGTGAGAGCATGGGCGCTAGCGCAGTAGCGCTTACGCAGCATGCGGCCAGTGCCCTAATGCCAAAATGGGAGGCAGACCCTTTCCTAAATGGGAGTGGCCTGCCTGCTGCTGCTGCCTGGATGCGCTGGTCCTCACCCGGAAGCTTCCGGTAGGCCCGAGTGGGTGCGTCCAGAAGAGGCCCAGGGCATGAGTTAGTTGCCCGTACCCAACTGCCCACGACCTGTGTTTGGTCCCCGTCTGCGTCTGGCCCACGACGCACTTCAGATACGTTTGCAAATTGGAGCTTGGGCCTGGGTGCTCGTAACCAACTGACGCCGTGCAACTGTCTGGAACCCAAGTGATGTGGGGAGGCCTGAAATGGGGGCCAGTAGGCCCATTCGAGCCTGCCTTCACTTAGAGCGGCCGACGACACTGCAGCCAGGGCCTCCAAGAGGCTCATCGGGGCTTAGCCTCGCATATATATATATATATATATATATATATATATATATATATATATATATATATATATATATCAGGGTACCGGGCAGTCATTGATGCTTAACCACAACCGAGGTTAAGGTGGATTGTTATCACTTACAGTGTAATCAGTTAGGGGATTCTGCAGACTGTTGAGGGTTCAGCCTCCTGATGAGTCGATGAAACTCCGACGAAACAGTTTGTCACAGCCCCTCGTTTGTTGTCCTCTTCTCCCTCTTGTCCCTCGCTCTCTGCCTATGGTTTACCGAGCAGTTCTGTTTGACTATATATATATATATATATATATATACCCGCCGACCGCCTACCCCGGCTGCCGACCGTACCGTCTTGCAGCCTACCGGTAGTAGGACCGAACTTTTGGGGGTCTGTAGACCAGTCAAGTAAGCACCCATCCACTGATTCTTGTTTGAATCTGACTATGGGGCTGTACAGCGCAAATCCACTGAGAAACTTTTGGGGACGAGGGGGGTGGGGGCGGGGGNCTTTTGTGTATTGTTCTGAGTCCCTTCGCCGTCGCATCCCGTCTTGGGATGTGAGGCTGCGGTAGGAGCATGTGGGGGTGTGTTGTATTTGCAGGGTGGTATGGGATGCAGCCGCATACTGTTTTCATGACTTTGTCGGGATACCCTGTTATGGCTGTCTCTTATACACATCTAGATGTGTATAAGAGACAGGGTGAGTACAGGGAGGTATAGGGGGGCGTATAGAGGGGTTATGGGGGGTATGATGGTGTTGGGGGCCGGCTTAGGGGTGTTGGGGGGGGGGATGGGTGTCGGTGGGGTTATTGGGGTTATGGCCTCCCAATTCTTTTTTTTTTAATTATTATTATTATTATTATTTTTTTTTGCAGAACCTCTTGGTTCTGGGCCCTGCCATTCTGGGGACCGACAGTCCGGTTCCTATTCCCCTGGCAAGTCAATGAATTGTACAAGGTTGACTCACCCCACGCTCCTCCCCATTATGGTTGAGAGGCCCGAGTGGACGACATTGATTACTTCTAGTAGGAAGGATGTACCACCCCTCACCCCTGCCTAAATTAACATGTCATAACAAGTTTTTTGTGTGGCTTTGTATGCCTAATCCATCTCAAGCTGCTTCTCTCAGCTGTATGGCTGTCAGTTATTACTTGTATCTCTAGAGCAAGCTGCAACTATTGACCTTTGTTGGCTTCACTAAAACCTTTTTTTCAAT